ACTAAAAAGTTTACTGAAAAGAAATGTCATGTTTAACTTTTACAGCAGATACTAGGAGTAGAGACTCCACGAAGTCTGGTTTTCTCCAATAATCTTTCTGTCTGTTTTAAACAATCCTAATCTCTATCCTTGAATTTTCATAACACCTTACATCACAAACCACACCTCTGTTCTGGTCCATCCACCAATTAGAAAGCTCTCAAATGAACCGGAAGTCGACCCATTTAAATGTGGCAACTTCCCAGTTCAACGCTCTCGGATGCAGCTCATGGAGAAGTGTCAAAAAAAGGTCTGATGTCTGTGTCGAGTCTCTGTCGAAGAGAGACGCGACGAGATGAAAAGAGCTTAAAGGAGTAGAGCTCTGAAGGAGTTCAGAGTTCTTGAATCCAGAATGCAGGGACGATTTTGGGAATTATAACTTCTGTTTGGATAACCTCGCACGACTCTCGAAGTATTTTAGCTGTTCTCAACGGAGACGCTGAAAGAGTCAAAAGAAGGACTTCACGCCGACCTGACCTATCATCAACCAGGTAAAAGTTCTATTTCGACCAAGCGTACCGTGGCCAAGCTGAGATCTGAAGGAGCGTGCCCGTTTCTGGTCAAACAGATAAATTCCCTCACACATCTCTCTGTAAGATAAATCTCCATTTTCCATCTTAAACTCTCCTTTCTCCTAAAATCATTACAGATATTTTAGAAATGTCTGAAGCAAAGTTCTCAATCACCGCCGTGTGATTGATGTCTGTTCTGCTGAAAAGTGAGGACAATCGCCGTATTGTTCCACTTCCTGTGAAACTAGCCATGTTATTGTTTTCATATTTTGCCAAATTAATGTAAATGTTTGATGTTAAACTTTGATTCTGTAAATAAATGACCGCATTCATTTTGATGGGTCAAAGATAAATAACGTCTCTCGTTTACGTTTCTGTTAAACTCAATGCACGCATGCTACACAGTCAGAAAAATGAAGAACCCGTGAAATGTATGAATATATCCAGTATATGTCATACTACACCAGCGGTCACTTGTTCAGGGATGAAGATGTGCACATCCTGGACAGAGAGGATCGATGGTTTGAGAGAGGAGTAAAGGAGGCCATCTTTGTGAAAAGAAACCGTCCATCATTAAACAGGGGTGGAGCCTCCGGGTTCAACTGTCCCCCTCTTACAATGCTGTTATTGCTAGTATCACTCAGTCCCCTGTGAATAGCAAGCAGCCATCAGGGCACTAATGATCCATTGTTAGGCTGATGGTCCTCCTTTATCATGTGAGCAGCTGGTTCTGGATGTCAACAACAAACTGGTTGATCCACTATGAGAAGGTGCTATTTATAAGACTGAGTTTGTTGCAGCTCCTAAGACTGAAGAAGTCTTTTGGATAAAAGATGTAACGTTTCAACAAAGATTATTCTGTCCAGAGAACCTGACTTTAATTTGTTTGATTTCAGAATGATCTCTATGAGCAGGAGGAACATGTGGTCCATGACTGACCACAATCAAGTCCTAATGCAGACCTCAGCGGACCTCAGTCTCTGAGCAGAAGTAGAACCTTTAATTCAGGGTGTGGGGGCATCAAAACTGAATACCTTTTAGATCTTAGTTTCTGTCACTCATCAGAGGCTCCTGCCCCCAGCTGGAGACCTCCTACAGATCATAACATGGTTCTTCAGAGGAAACCAAAGTTCGGATTGATTTGGGTCTGTCAGAACTTCCATTTCCTCTCATTACCAACCAGTTCTGATAACTCGCTGAGGCTCTGTTCTGCTCTGCTCACCTTGTCAGCAAAGTGGATGATGATGAAGGAGATGTTGGACATCCGGGGTTTCTGGAAGTGTGCGCTGCTGGAGTTCTGCTTGTAGAGCTTCTGGGCCCAGTTCTGATCTGTCCCCTTCGGAACCTGGAACACAGTTTGGTTACAGAACCACTGGAGGAGAGGAGCGCAAGATGACCGCAGATTGTTGAGCAGAGTTCTGTTAAGCTCCCGTCTGCTCCCGCTTTATATTCTTGCTGCCTCCACATTGGATTATTCATCTAAGATTGGTGTTGTTGCAGGATTGATTTGATGGAGCTGTAATATGGCCTCTAAATTAAAAAAAATCTAAGGGAGCGGGGCACCTGCCCACATAGCCTGGAGATACAACTGCAGCCTTGGACCGCGGTGAAGCTGCAGTGGCAGGTGAAACAACAACCGTAGGTGTGTCAGCCTAGAAATTACCGGGTTCTGGAATGATGATTGAGTCAACTCTGAAGTCAGATATTCTGGCTTCGATTAAATCTGAAGTCACAGCGATAATTAGGATGGAGATGAAGGTGGCTCTGACGGATGATTTTAATTTTATCAAGAGCTAATTACAAGCTGTGAGAGCAGAGCTTGCTGGAAACACTGCGGCCCTCAGAACAGAGTTTGACTAAGTTAAGCTAAGTGTTACAGAGACTGAAGACAGACTGTTTATGTGCTCAGATGAGGTAGGGGCTCTGCATGGGACCGTGGTGGAATTGATGGATGAGGTAGATGGGTTGAGAAGAAGGCTTGAATCCGTGGAAGGACATATGAAACGGAACAATATTAGGATTATTACACTTTTCTTAAGCTTGTGTTTGACTTAATATTTGGCTGTTAAGGTCCTTTAATAGTGGTATATACAAGGTTTTATTTGTATTGGAGGGCGATTGTACAGTGTTAACGCTGCAGTGTTTCCCCTACCATTATACAAGCAGGGCACCCTGCCCCGTCAACAGAATCAAGCGCCCCACCTACCGAACAAAACTGTGTGCACACCCCTTCACCCACCAGTCAGCACTGACAGTGCTAAGCTAGTGGTGCGCAATACAGCGTGCTAAAAAAATTAAAGGCAGCGCTCACACTGCCTCTTCCCTCACACTGACCAAACTGCCGGTACAAACAGCGCGCAACTCAGATGCGTCTGTCCCCCTCTCCCCCCCTCAAAAACAAACAGCGTGCAGCTCAGATGTGTGTGTCTCTTCACCCCACCCTGCTTAAAAACAAACAGTACACAGCTCAAATGTATCTCTGTCACCCACCCCCCCCCCCCCCACAAGTCAACAGTGGAGTGAAAGTGGAGGAAAAGACAGGCTGCAGGTCTCTTTACAAATACTTAAAGAGAGTTGGCGCTGTTATCAGAAAGCAGTGAAAGCTGCTAAATCCAAATACTTCTCTGATATAATTATCTCAAACTCTCACAACCCACGTGTCCTCTTCTCCACCCTAAACTCTGTGTTCTCCACCTCACTGAACCATCACCTCTGGAAGCCTCGACTGAGCTGTGCGACAACTTCTTACATTTCTTTTTGGAAAAAATTGCGACCACCAGGGCTCTCATTTCCCCTCCAACTCATGAGCCATCCATCCCACCTCAATCTGTAGCTCCTTTTGACCATTTTGAACCCATCACTCTATCTTCCCTAGAGCAGGTCACGTGCAGCTTGAAACCTTCTGGCTCCCCCTTTGATGTGGTCCCCCCTCGACTACTAAAGGAGGTTTTTCCTAATCTAGGTCCGTCTATTCTTGCCATAGTAAACAGTAGTTTATCCAATGGCGTGGTGCCAAAATCCTTTAAACATGCTGCTGTCCAGCCTCTCCTGAAAAAAACCAAACCTTGACCCCTCAGTCGTCTCCAACTACTGGCCTGTCTCCAAACTCCCATTTGTTTCTAAAGTACTGGAGAAAATAGTCGAGTCCCAGTTGAAGTGCTTCCTGGAGGATCACGCCATCTTAGAGCTTTTCCAATCTGGCTTTAAACCTCTCCACAGCACTGAAACTGCCCTGCTGAAGGTCTTTAACGACATCTTCAGATTCACAGATACTGGTAAGCGCAGAGGTGACAGGGCCTTCTCTGTAGCAGGACCAAGACTCTGGAATGAGTTACCTCTGTCAGAAAGGCCCCCTCTCTCTCTGTTTTCAAGTCCTGTTTAAAAACTCACTACTATTCAGTAGCTTTCAACACCAGATGATCTGTGTTTTGATCCTGTATGCTCCACACTGGTTTGTTGTCATTATCTGCATCGTTTTTATGTCTATATTTCTGATTTACTTCATTTTGTATTTTGCTTTGTGTGTTACCTGTTGTTCTGTCTGTACAGCACTTTGGTTGGCCTTGTAGCTGTTTTAAGTGCTTTATAAATAAAGTGGTATAGTATGGTATGGTAACAAAATCACAGATTAGATGAGTGTCCTGCCATGGTTATTTAGGGGAAAGACTGCATTAAAAGGGTCAATATTTGTTTTCAGTAGTTAAAATATTTTGTTTTTAGTTTGTTTAGTTCACGCTTCAAAAATATGTTTTATTTTTGTATAAGATGCATTTATTCTGTCATGAAGGACTATGTTTTGTTGTACCGTTACCGCAAGATTTACGTGAATGGAAGGGAGTGGCATATGTCCGCTACATACAGTTACCTGAAGACACGAGAGGTGGGCGGCATTCTCGATAGTTCTCTAGCTGTAAAGGTATTTATAAATGGACTGTAATTATATAGCGCTTTTCTATCGAATCAAGATACTCAAAGCACTTTACACTACAATCTGTGCTTCATTTACCCATTCATACAGCACTCTACAAAGCTAATTGAACAAATCATTCTAAAGAGACTAATCGGAGCTTTCGATCACATTCATACACCGATGGGACACACATCGGCGGCGATGAGGGGTTCAGTGTCTTGCCCATGGACACTTCGGCATGTGACTGCTGGTGGATTCGAACCCCCAACTCTTGCATTGGAGGACTACTGCTCTAACCACTCAGCCACAGCCACCGCTTATAACTGTTGTAATACGTTGTAAATCTGTCAGTTATGGTGTTCTGATTATTTTATTTGTTTATTTAGAGAGCACAAGATGAAAACCATTTGTCTAGGACCTCTTTAATGACGAGCGGCCACGAGGTATACTGTACACCTTTGATAAAGCATGCTTCACTCATCACTCAGTACAGTACCTAAAGCTTTGTGTTTATTTTTGTATTTTCTGTCATATCTGTAGTTTTCATGGCATTCATTAGCGCACCCATTTTAAATAAAGAAGCCGTGCCTGAGTCGTCATTGGGAGGCTCCATTATGTTTTTCTTAAATACCATTACTCATACCATATGTGGGCAGATGAGAGCCCAGGTGGTCGGACTGTGGTAAGCCCAAATGTATGGATTCTCAGTTGACAGTGGTTTTTGTTCTCTTCGTGTTCAGGTAGGAGAGAGGGATGGGTTTATACCAGATCAGTCTTTTGGGGGTTTTGTTTCTTCTATCAGGTATTAGCTTGTGACATTTGTATATAAATTATTTCTTGCTGTTCTTTCATGACCAGTGTTAAGGATGTTAGACGCTCTAGTGGCTGCCCAGTTAATTGTGTAAGCTGGAATGTGAAATTCTATAATGGTTCAGTAAAATTCCAGAAAATTATGTCACACTTGAAACAGTTGAACACTGTTGATATTGCCTTTTCACAGGAGACTCATGTGTTCTGCAGACAGTAGAAAGTTTGTTAAAAAAATGGTCTGGTCAGGTGTTTCAATCCAAATTTCAATCCAAATTAAGAGGGGTAGCTGTTATAGTTAGCAAGCAGGTACAATTTATAGCCTCGAGTGTGCATGCTGATACTGCCGAGCAGTATGTTATAGTGGTAGAGAAGTTATACACACTGCCAGTGATCTTGGCTTTGGTATATGCTCCCAACTGGGACAACTCTACATTTTATTAATAAGCTCCTTTCAAACATACCAAATAGGTCAACACATAACCTTAAAATTGGCGGTGACACAAAATGGGTGCTTTCATCTTTTGACCATAGTTCAATGGGAAAAACTATACTGACTAAATCTGCTCAATAAAGTCATTCCTTGAACCTTATGGCGTGGCTCATGTGAGGTGCTTCAATAATCCTACTTCAAGATCATACTCATTTTTCTCACAACTTCATAAGACATACTCCCGAATTGACTATTTTTTTCTTGATAAACAAACTCTGCCTTTGGTGAAAAACTGTGACTATGGGGGCCATGGTCATTTCGGTCCATGGTCCACTTATTATGAAACTGCTTATCCCGGTCACAAAATCTGTACATCTGGAGATTCAACTCTTTACTATTACCTGAGGAAGACTTGTTCAAATTTCTTACATCTGAAATTGAATTTTTTCTTGAAATCAACCAAACACCAGGAATGCCACTTTGTACTGTCTGGGAGGCATTAAAGGCCTACCTGAGGGGTCAAATAATTTCTTATTGTACAAACAAACAAAAAAGAAGAGTTTGGTAAGGCTAGAACAATTAACTGATGAGATGTTACAATTAGAGAACATAGTCACTCCCCCTCTCAAGATCTAATGAAAAAACCTTTGTTACTCCAAACTGAATTTAATACTTCGTCTACTCAGCAGGCAAAGTATTTAATCACTAAATCTAGACAGGGTTACTATGAACACGATGAAAAGGCTGAGCGTTTGCTCACGCATCAGCTACGATGACAGTCAGCCAACCAATGAGGGAGTTATCTTTAGCTGAGATAAACTCCGCAATCAACGATATGCAAAATGGGAAATCCCCTGGACCAGATGGCTTCCTATCTCAGTTTTTAAAGAAATTTTCAAATCAATCACATTCTCACATTTAATGTCTGTGTTTGAAGAGTCACTTGCTGCACATATATTACTACTGTTCATGCATCAAGCTGTAATCTCACTGTTACCTAAGAAAGATAAAGATACTCTAAACTGCGGCTCATATCGACCTATCTCACAGAAGACTGTAAAGAAGACTGTTGGAGTCAGCCTCCCCACCATCACAGACTACACCTCCAGATGTAGGAAGAGGACCACCTGCATCATGAAGGACTCCATTCATCCAGCACACACTTTTGGCCCAACTCCCCTCAGGCAGAAGGTTG